TTGTCCTTTCTGAACCTCATGAGATTTGTTTTGGCCCAATCCTCCAATTTGTCTAAGTCACCCTGAATCCTAGCCCTACCCTCCAGCATATCTACTACTCCCCCTAGCTTGGTGTCATCTGCAAACTTGCTGAGGGTGCACTCTACGCCATCTTCCAGGTCACTGATGAAGACATTGAACAAAACCAGTCCCAAGACCGACCCCTGGGGCACTCCACTAGATACCAGCTGCCAACTAGATATTGAATCATTGATTACTACCCTCTGAGCCTGATATGCCCCAGCCAGTTTTCTATCCACCTTACAGTTCATTCATCCAGCCTGTACTTCCTTAGCTTGCCTGGGAAAATGGTGTGGGAGACCTTATCAAAAACCTTGCTAAAATCAAGGTACACCACCCCCACCAGTCTCCCCACATCCACAGAGCCAGTCACCTCATCATAGAAGACAATCAAGTTGGTCAGACATAACTTGCCCCTGGTGAATCCATGAGGACTGATCCTTATCACCTTCTTCTTCTCCAAGTGCTTAGAAATGGATTCCTTGAGGATCTGCTTCATGATTTTTCCAAGGACTAAGGTGAAGCTGACTGCTCTGTAGTTCCCTGGATCTGTAGTTCCCTGGATCCTCCTTTTTCCCTTTCTTAAATATGGGTACTATGTTTGGCTTTTTCCAATAATTAGGGACCTCTCCTGATCATGAGTTTTCAAAGATGATAGCTAGTATCTCTGCAATCTCATTAGTCAACTCCTTCAGTACCCTTGGGTGTATCCCGTCCAGCCCCATGGACTTGTATATGCCCAGGTTTTCTAAACAATTCTTAACTTGTTCTTTCATCACTGTTGGCTGCTCACCTCCTCCCCAAACTATGCTGCCTTGTGCAGTAGTCTGGGAGCTGACCCTGCCTGTGAAGACTGAGGTAAAAAAGGCATTGCATATTTCAGCCTTTTCAGTATCATCTGTTAGTAGGTTGCCTCCCCCATTCAATAAGGAACCTACACTTTCCCTGATTTTCTTCTTGTTGCTGACGTACTAGTAGAAATCTTTCTTGTTACCCTTCATGTCCCTTGCTAGCTGAAACTTCAGTTTTGCTTTGCCCCCGTGATTTCATCCTTACATGCCCAAGCAATACTCCTATACTATGAAAGCATTAAGCACTTCAGTCTTTTCTGCACCCTCTGTCACAAGATTGTCTCCACCATTGAGTAAGGGACCCACACTTTCCCTGATCTTCCTCTCGCTACTGACATACGTGTAGAAACTCTTTGTGTTACCCTTCACATCCCTTGCTAGCTGCAATTCCAATTATGCTTTGACCTTCCTGACTTCAGCCCTGCAAGCCCAAGCAATGCTCATACTTCTCCCTATTTATTTGTCCAAATTTCCACCTCTTATAAGCTTCCATTTTGTGATTTAGTTTACTGAAGAGTTCCCTACTAAGTCAAGCTGGTCTTCTGCCATACTTGCTAGTCTTCCTGTGGATATGGATGGTTTGTTTCTGCACTCTCGATAAGGCTTCTTTAAAGTATAGCTAGCTGTGCTGGACTCTTCTCTCTGTCAGACTGGCTTCTGAGGGGATCCTACCCATCAGTTTCCTGAGCGAGTCAAAGTCTGCTTTTCTGAAGTTCAGGGTCTGTACTTTGCTGCTTTCCATCATTTCTTTCCTCAGGATCTTGAACTCAGTCATTTTGTGGTTGCTGCTGCCCAAGTTGCCATCCACTCCCCACCAATTCTTCCCTGTTCGTGAGCAGCAGGTCAAGAAGAATATAGACCCTAGTTGGCTGCACCAGCACTTGCACCAGGAAGTTGTCCCCAGCACTCTCCAAAAACTTCCTGAATTGCCTGTGCACTGCTGTATTGCCTTCCTAGCAGATGTCAGGGTGATTGAAGTCCCCCATGAGAACTTGTGATCGGGAAACTTCCACTATCTGTTTGAACAAAGCCTCATCCACTACTTCCTCCTGGTCTGGTGGCCTATTGCAGACCCCGACCACAACATCACCATTGTTTCTCTCCCCTTTAACCTTAACCCAGAGAGTTTCAACAGTCCTCTCTCCACTTTCATACTAGAGCTCTAAGCAATACTACAGCTCTTTTATATAAAGTGAAACTCCTCCTCCTCTACTTCCTTGCCTTTCCATCCTGAACAGTTTGTCCCCATCCATGACAGTGCTCCAGTCCTGTGAGCCATCTCACCAAGTCTCTGTTATTTCAATCACATCATAGTTTTGTAACTGTGGAAGGACATCCAATTCTTCCCACTTGTTTCCCAGGCTCTGTGTCCCAAAGAGAGTCCCACTGCAGGAGGCAGAGGGAGGTGAGAGAGAAAGCAATCCATCCTGGAATGCTGGAGGACCTGGCCAAACACTATTACATTAATCACCATCAAATTAAAAGACAATACTAGCAAACTGCAAAGATACATTTTATAAGTAACATCTTTGTGACTGGATCACCATTTTTGCAGCTCATTGACATGATAAATATTGTGACCATGTGGCAGGTTACAATTTATCATGTGATTAACACATTAATCATAAGATAAATTTAATGCCTGCCATGGGCCTCAGAGTTCTAATTGTTCTTTTTTATGATTTTCCCTGAAAATGTGTTTACTGTTTTTGAGCACTAGAATATTTATGAAATTGTTTAGCATACTGTTTTAGTTAGCTTCTCTTAGCAATCAGAATTATGTTGTGATGCTTCCCTTTCAAAGGAACTGTACAGTAGTAACACATGTATGTTTGCAGGAGGTTATTCATCTTGTTGGGTTTTTTTCACTCTCTATTCCTCTTTACCATCACCTGTAAATGTTGTGACTCATGCATAATGGTAGATACATTTATTTGAATTCTCCAGGTCACTGTGGGTGCTTTTCTCTGGTTTTCTGGCACAGAAACAGTAATCCCCATAGAAAGGGAATCCTCCTGTGGCATTACCAACTCTGAGGCTGCTCCTATCCTAACCCTGAGTCTAAGGGTGTAGCCAAGGAAAAAATGACCATGCAGCATTCTTCCACATGCACACTGGCCCAGATCTGCGGAGATGCTTAGTAGGTGCCTAAATGCCTTTGTAGATTCCAATCTTAGGGGCTACTGAAAGATAATTAATAGCAAAGCAGAACAAATACTGGGTTGGGACCAGAATCCACAAACAGGCATATAAGCAGCAGTGATTTAAAATCAAGTCACCTGCAGGAATGGTTTGATAACTTTATATGCATCTGGTTACTTAACTGTGGGGCTCCAATCCCATCCAAATTATTTACCACTATATCTACAGTACCTGGCTCAGTGAGACACATCATTTTGTAGTCCCCGAGATGACCAAGGAGCAAATAATAAGTAAAAAAACAACGAATAATACTCTCCATCTCCCTGAGTGTCACATGAAGATAACAGCACTTTATGTGTTATCTTAGAGGACAGTTATAGAGCTAAACTTATTAATGGCTCTGAAATGCTTAGATAATATAATGATGACCACCACAGCAAAACAAGAAAACATTTTAAAATGTTCTAAATGAAGTCGTCTTTATATTTTCCTGCCAAAACTGTTAAAACTGAGCAAAGAATAAAAGAAAAAAATTAAGAATATTAATGAAAAAAATAAGTTTATAATATTCTTGTTATATAGTAACACTGATAAAGATAGAAATATACATTATTCCCATGCCAGACTTTATTAAAGGTTTACAATGTATGCATTTATTTAAAACAAACAAAATCACATTTACATTTCCCACCAAACTTCTACTCATAACTTAGTGGTACAGATTCACAAATAGGAAGTGTATAATTCTTCACTGAAGATGACCTAAAGCTGCACTGTGTGACTAGGAATAATGTATGTTTTAATCTGATTCCCTCAAATAATTCACTTTCTTAATTACTGTCTCATCTGACAGTGCACCTTATGAATACAGACTGTTGGTGTTAGTCACCAAACATGTGATGGTGTTGTTGACAAATAGGGACATTATTTCATTACATTAAATCTTACCTTCAAACCAAGGATTTTCTACCTCATTTGTCAATAAAAAACATTTACAGACTCCTACTATCTGACTACACTATTGATCCAACTCCTAAACAGCAAATAATATGAAGATTAATCTGCAAATGACCATAATTTAAAAATATTTCTGATAAATCATGATAGGTCCTGTTCAGAGTTGCTCATCATTGTCATGTAAACAACCACCCACTTGTAGCTGAATCTAAATGGATTTTCTGCAAAGCAAAATCAAGTCATTCAATCAAGGAAGAATTTGAAAGGCACCTAATCATCCCAATAAACCAATATTTGCCATGCAGATTATGATGAATGATAACGTACACAACAAAGCTCTATAAGCTTCATGATCTTCCACATCATTTTTTTCCCAAGCAGATATATGTGTTCATGTCATCACAAATCAGTGTCCATGTAGAAACTTCAGTTTGGTTTCTGCATTTATATTTGACCATATAGGCTGTATCTATATGCAACACTGACTGCACAGTAACCAGAGTTACTGTGCAGTAGCATTGCCAAATGGCTTTTAGGTGACAATGACTCCACAGTAGCTCGTTACTACCACGCAGTAGCGTCACACCACACTTTGTGCCACAAAATGCTACTGCACGGTAGTAATGAGCTACTGCACAGTGAGCATCTTGTGTAGACGTGGCCATAGAAAACATAATTATGAGAACTTAGATTAACATATGCATCAAAAAGCACAGAATCTTCCCACCTGAGCTAATAAATAATCTCCATTAGCAATCTGTAATAAAAGAGCTATGATGCAGAGTTGAACCATTCTGAATATATCTTTAAAAGGACAACACTACAAATGAACACTAACAAGTTCATGGCAATATTTCTTCTGAATGGAAAATATCATAGTGTGGGATCCTTTTCTCTACTTTCCCAGATACCATTGATATAGCCTGTATTCTTTCTTCCTAGATATATGACATTATACTTAGCTGTTAAATATATGTGATTTACAAGTACCTTAGACTCTGGATGATAGCACAGGTCTCCACAGATATTTTCATATATCTCACATTCCAGCAAGATGCATGATTTACTGCTTTGGCTTGCTGATAACTGACGGGATGAGCTGCATGGTTGCCATGCTTTACGTAAAAGATCATACCCTAGTATAATGCCATTTGGCTGTCTTGGTGATGTCCAGTCAATCTGAAGAGATCTATAATAAACAGAATAATATCAATTGAAACAATAATCAACCCCCCTGCTGTAGTTAAATTTCTTTTGACATTCACATTAACTTAGATGCCCGCAAACATTTCATTTATACATTGCTATAGAGATCAAATATTTGAAGTGTCCAACCTCCTCTAACTTGACAAAGAATAGCAACTTTAATAGCTGACAGAGCTGTACTTGCTGCCAAGGTAGCAAATGTTGGTTTTGCTTAGGAATATGAGTTCCCTTACATGGACCATAGAAAAAACAAAGCCTCATCTTGGATTTGAGTACTAGCCCAGAGTAGGCAGCTGCAGCTCTGACTCTAGCCATGGCTCTGGCTCCAGCCTGGGACTGGATCTGTAGCTGTTGCCAAACCTGCTGCCTGGAGTCAACATCCCTGGAGGCAGCAACAGCTTTACTGAGCCTGGGTCTTGGGCCAGTAGCACGGTTCGGAGATTGGACAGCAGTGTAGGTCTGATGTCAGCAGAATTGGGTGGCAGCACAGGTCAGGGACTAGGTGCAGTGTGGGTCCTGAGGCAGATGGCAGCACAAGCCAAAGATCAGACAGCGGTGTAGGTCTTGGGCTGTGTTGTTACACAGGTCCAAGGGTGGATAGAGGCACAAGTCTATGTATGGGCAGTGGTGTTGTTCAGGAAGGTGGGTGACAGTGTGGGTCAGGGATCAGGCAAAGGGACAGAGGTGGAAAGTGGTCAGGAGGGTAAGCACAGGGGGCAAGTTGCAGCAGGGGACAAGTGCCAGGGAAGCAATGGCACCTGGGAAGAGCAGTGGGCATGTGGCAGGAAGGCAAGGTGTAGGGGTCAGGTGGCTTCCTTCCTTACCATCTGCCCCCCTCCCCACTGCTTTCTCTGCCACTTGTCCCCCTTGGCACTGCTTTCCCT